GACACAACCCACTGGGCCCACGGGGTCTTCCCTATGAAAAAAAAGAAACACCAAAACCCAAAGGATGGGGGAAGAGAGCTCGCTCCACAGATCGCTCCGACCACGGCTCCCCACGGCGGAGCGCCGCGAGAGTCCGCCATGAAAAGAGGAGCGAAAAACCTCGCGCCGACCCAAACGAAAACCCCAAACCCCCCGTCCGGTCCTATGGTGCACCCAAAAGAAGTGGCGAAAAAGAACCCTGGGATTCGCCTGGCCACCTTTCGCCAAGAGCTGCTTCAGTTGATCAAGGCTCGGCAGCCTGATCAAGGCTGCGCGCCGGCTGCCGCCAGACGAGCGAGACACGACCGAAGGTGGGCGCCGCGACCGAACGGAACGGTCTTGAGTTGCGGTGTCGACCACGAGCACCAGCTGCAAAATGGACTGAAAAGTTCGGACGGAAGAAAAGAATAGAAAAGATATGTGAGGGTTCTTAAGTAGAATATGGTCACGGCACATCTATGACCTCTATGGCCCATAGGGGTGACGTCCCGTCCCGAGACGCAAGACGAGACGAGCGTCTTCTCCAAACGGCCACCGCCGCGCGGAGTCCGAAAACATTCATCGCTCCCAACAAACGGGTCAGAACGAGTCCGACACGGAGCCACCCGGTCCCACGGGTCCCGGTCCCACGAAGCCACCCGGCCCCGCTGTCAGGTCACCGATCGGGGTCACTGATGACACCAGCGGGGCCCTCCGCTGTCATCGCCTGGCAGTGGTGCCCGACATCCAAAAGTCCTGGCAAACGAACGGTGGGGCTGCCGTGGCGCCGGAGGGCGGTGGTGGAAGTCCAGGATGAGGAAAAAGATGCTATAGGTATGGGCCTTGAAAGGTGGATGGTGGGCCTTCAAAGGTGGATTGGAAAATACTTGTAGAAAGGAGCTTGATGCACGGGTGCCAAACTTGGTCAAATACCTAGGACCTAGGAGCACGCAGGAGACCTGCGGTGACTCCGCGTCCATAGAAAACGAACTAATGCCCCGAAAGGCTTCAAAGGCACAGAAGCGCTGCCATTGGCTTAGGAGGTCACACTTCAGTTCTAATCTCTGGAGAGATAGCCTTCTCAACTAGCCTTCGAAAAAATCCACCAGCCCAACTCAGCCCAACTTGACAGCTGGCAAGTTCGATCTCATACACCGCCTGATGTGCAAAAAAGAACTTTGATTCTTCACGTGAGTGGTTGTACAAAATGCCTTCCATCAGCAGCACTGTTGCTGGGCCGCGATGGGTCCCACTCCGGAAACAGCCACCCGTACCTCGGCCACCCCTTCCGGGAGCTCGGGCGCTTCAGGCGGCGCCTGTCAGCTGTAAATCAGAGTCCAAAAGGATGGCTGTGGGTCATGGCACCAGGAGACCAGTGACACCTCGTGCGCGGCAAATGGTGTGGTGTGATCCATCCCCACATGTTATGGTCCTCCTGAGGTGCCTCGTTGTGAGGCCTCATGTGTGCTTTCTCCTCGGATGGCAGCATGAGGATAGTCTCTATAGATCGGCTGAGCACATTCGGATCTGATGACCCCCAAGGTGAGGGCACAAATGCAGCGCGCTCTCCACTGCGACGAGCTTCACCCGGCTTGCCCGCTTATGGTTTGGGTTTGACCTGGCTTGCTCTGACAGGCAAACAGACTGCATTTAGCCCGCCATCTTGGATGATTTCCAGCTGGGTGTGGTCGCGTTGGCGCCGCGTTGGTGGCGGTTCACCACGTTGAAAGCTTGGGAAAACATGGAAAAACATGGCTTCAGGATGTCCCATGGCCAAAGAGGAGGACTTGATACCAAATGTTCGAAACAAGTAAAAACAACTCGAGTGACAAGTTCTTTTTCTCGGCTCGTAGTGGCATTGGCCTTGACCCAACTGATGAATCAGTAGATCTGGCAGATGTCTTCCCTTCCCAGGTAGGTGGATCAACCACAATGCACTACCAGTGAAAATACGGCGCCTGCCCGGCTATGAAGCCCCCGCTCGCCTTCTTTCTGCCACGACCCCGGCCGGCGCCTGAGCAAGTCTGGGGGACACCGGTGGAAGACTCGATTGGATTGCCTCAGGGTCTGTTGTGGAAAGCTCTTTGACCCGTGGAGCCGAGGGCTTAGCTAGCCCTGTGGTACCCTTCATGGCACAAATCCTTTCCCATCTGAATACATCTCCAAACAGATGAGAGGGTCAAAGAAACTTTCGTTCACACTCCCTTGGACAAAAGCAGTTGGCACTTCCACAAAGAAAGACACAGGCACTTCCACCTCTGTTGCTCAGCCACTAAAATCGTCCTGAGAGTCCCATGAGGAACCATACAGAACGGTAAGACCCTCTGGTTTTGGCCCAGACCGACGGGTTCGCTCCATCAGCTCCTGGTACCCGTGGTGAATCATCACGCTCTTTTCATGCAGAAGGCCACACCTTATTCTGTGAGATGTCCGTCTTGGAGCTCAACCCGAAATTCAACCCCAAAAACCTTTGAAACTCGACGCACTCAACTTGAAAAAGAAACATCGGTTCAACAACAATTCGAGGCTCCAAAAAGGTGCCCCAAACCGAAAAAGCCCGTCTCCGGAGATCCATGTTCCTCCCTCCGGCCATGGCACGCACCGCTCCAGGCCCCGTTGGAACGGGCCCATCGGGCGTTCCTTTCCGCTCCACGGGGGTGTCCGCGCCTGGGTCGATCCCCCCGCGGCGGTCAGGAGGAGGTCGGACGTGCGGCGGTTGGGCGGTTGGGCGTCTCGGTGTGGGCGGTTGGCGCTGCGCTGAGTTGTTCCAAGTGAAACAGAATCAGGACATCCTGGTGCACTGGTACCTGTTGACGAGCTACAGCTACGTTGTGAAGCCCGGGGGGGGGCAATTGGATGTGAAGTCTGAAAAAGACCCCAGTCTGCTTGTTGGATGAGGATGAGGAGGATGAGGAGGATGGGGATGATGCCCACGTGACTTCTAGTCCAAATGAGGTTTCACTTTGGCGCCTCGAAGCGGCACAGAAAACGAGAGGTCCCTCTGGGCTCCCGTGCATGGTGCAGGGCACACCTGCATCGAAGAGCGGAGAAAACAGAGGAACAAATTCAGAAGCAGACAGGTTTGGGAAGTTGACCCCCATGGCCATTGCCAGATTTGCCCCTGAACAACTGGAAACTTGATCATTTCGTGTGCATAGAAACCAGTGAAGTGAAACATGATGCGAATCGATCCCTGTCCGTTCTCAGATTCATTCTCCTTTTTGGATCCACTCAGTAGCAGAAGCTCCCACGGTTCCAGCAGAGTCCTGGTTCCTTGCTTTTGAAGTGCCGTTTTCACCTACACGTGCCCTGGCGCCCTTGGTTCTTGGCACCCTCTTTGCTCCGCCTGCTCCGATCGAAAGGTCCGTTCGGATCTAAAATCGGATGAATTGATGGAAGCTGGAAGACCAACGACCACCCAAACGGCCACCACTAAGATCAACGACCACTCTTTAGTCTGTAGAGCTTTCTCACATCCTTTATTGGCCATCTTAACTTGAAACACAAACATCAAGAACTTGCCATGAGACATGGAAGAAAAATTGCTCACCCGAATCATACCAAATCCACGTCCACGCGTCCACGAAGGTCCCTGGTCAAAAGAATCTTTTGCGGAGTGTACCAAAAACAAAAAAGCTTATGTCCCTGCTGAATCCTTTCCATGCTTGACCCCAATGCTTCAAGAGACCTGGGTCATTCCTGGAGTTTCCGTGCCCCTCCCCATGTCCCTCCTCCCAATAAATGAAAAAGCACGACCCAAAAAATGGCATCCAGAAACATGGAAAGCCCAACCTAGGGAGCCCAGACCCGGTAGAGAACCATTAAAAAACCGAGTTGAACCCAAACACAAGGCGAGGCATCAGAATCCCCGTTTTCAAACGGGGGGTTTTTGTGGATAGAGAATCGGGTCCGAGAGGAGCTTCCAGTGAGGGTAGCAGATGGGTCGAGTGAGGTTTGGAGGGGGCAACAATTGCAGTAATTACAAAAAATATGACAGCATTCAGGGTGCTTTTTGGAGCGCAGTGATCGTCCGCTCTTTGAAGATGCTGATTGCACAGAAAACACAACACTGCTTGGGGCAACCACCGTCCAAAAGGAAAACACAAAGAAGATAAAGAAGCAAGAGCAAAACAAGGCTTACGTTTGTTTGCTTGGGCATAACCCTCATTCTTTTTCACGATGCTCAAATATGTTTGCCTTCACTCCACTGAAAACGAAGAGAGAGCGCCCCCCCCCAGGGTTTCTTCTTCCTTCAGATTTCATCATGTCGTACCACTCCCAATGGACCAAAATGGAGAACCCATGCACCAAACCCCATGGAACCCATGGACCAAAACAGACCTCATGGACCACCTCCCTTTCGCCCCCTCCGCCTGAATCTTCGAGGGCGCCATCCCCCCCGTCCCTTTCGAGCCGAGCAGGAGCAGGTCGATCGCATCGTCGAGCGTCGAGCGTGGTCGAGCCGAAACCCCCACCAACGTCCAGAAATCCCGGAAAAGCCCAAGGCCCAAAGGATACCATGTTCGATTGGATCGAGGTCTGACACTCTGTTTTGGGTGACGGAAAAGGATGGAGATGGGTCCCAGCGCAGCGCAGCGCAGCTCGGAGTCGTGTTCACCGGGTTCACCTGCTTTTCTATCTTCGAGGTTCTTGTATCTGGAAGTCGAAGATACGTCCAACACATTGCTACTGCATGAACCCAAAAAGGAGCGCGGAGCGCGGTACGAGTAGCACCCATGGTCGGACGCAGGGGTCCACGGTTCGGCCAGGCGTGACGAACGACGAAGCCAGTGACCGGCCAGGCGTGTCAGCTGAGGTCAAAGACCACAACCGAGACGACGATCCGATGTGGTTTCTCTGCAGTCTCCATCTTCCGTGGGTCAACAATGGAACCCACAGATTATGATCAAAAGATCATTTAATATCATTTAATTTATGTTCTTTTCTGCAGTCCAATATGTTGAAAAGACATGTTAACATGTTGGAACCACAAATTATGATCAAACAAATCACCAAAAACTCGCGTTTTTCTCAGCAGTTTCGACCACCCAAAAATTTGCACCATAAAATGGTGTGATCCCAAGCACGTCGGGTTTCCGAGGTGGCCGCGGCACTTTTTCCTCCTAGGATCCTGGCATCTCTGCACTGATCTTCGCTGCATCATGTCCCAAACTCCCTGGATGGCGCAAGAAACCGCATGACTTTGATATTCACTGCTCTTGTTTGGCGTCTGACTAGGAGAAAACAACAAGTTAGAACATTGACAGGGACTCAGGGACTTCTACGAGATGTTGAAGCACACCAAGCCGCTTGATTTGGAAGTCACAGTATCTACCAGCTTCCAGCGACCATCTCTGATCCATGCCCCACTACTCTGGGGCACTCACTCTGAGACTCTGTGAACTGGCCACTGGAACTCCCTCCATCGCTGGGAGCACTCCCTCCATCGCTCCCCTCGTTGTCTGCCCAAGCCCGCCTGTGTCATTGGGGAAGAACGGGAGAGAGACCCCCTGGACCTTTCGATTGGCTCGATCACCCCGATAAATGGGACTATACCATCAACTCTGCTCCCCACCTTTGCAGGAAGAATCCAAGCACTATCAGCATGATCACGCTGAAGTAGATCCCTAGATCCCTAAGAACCATGGAACAGCAAGTCATCCCAAAACCGTTGCAAGTCTAGATCCCAACCAGTCCTCCCAGCACGATCATCTCGCCCAAGTCACCAAGGTGAATCAAAACGGCGCTGGGACTCTGCACCAGCACAGATGAGCGCCACGCGGCAGCCGCTGCTTCCTGGCCACGCAGGAAGCAACTTCCTTCTATGTGACGACACTCGAAGGCTTGAAGGAGTGACGAGAAACACTGGAAACAAGTGACCATCTCAGTCAGTCTCATCCAAGTGCAAAATGAAAGAAAGCAAAGATATTGATTGGTTTGACCTTGTGCCATTTGATGGCATGGCCGTTCGTTTCATGGCCACACACACACACACACACGCTCCTGTTTTCTTCGGAGGATTTCGGAGGTGTTTTCTTCATCTACCTCCTTCTTTGTGGATCCGAATCCCTTGAACTTCCACCTTGTGCTCGCGCGTTTCTCATGTCCACCAACGCAGCGACCGACGGCGGCGTAGGTCTGCTTCTGGTGGAGGAGGATGCGAGAGGCAGCTGCTTGGCGTAAGTCATGAGATCACCTGGCAATGTCCAAAGCCCATACGGACCATGCACAGAAACCAAGCAAAAGCATAAGCCCAAACGAAGCGGGATTATTGGTTGGTCGATTAGTTTGCAAGCACAGTTAATATAAGAGAAACCTTGATACACTTACTGCCGGAGAGCAACCCTAGAGCACCATGTAGGTAGTCAGTGACAATCAACAGAATCCTTTGGCAAACTGAAGTCCGTTCTATGCAACAGGATATGTTGCCACGTGCTGCTGTCTTCGGCCAAGCACTCACTTGCGCACCCCCAAATAACCTCACTTGCGCACTTAGCACTCACTTGCACACTTTCATTTCAGGGGGAAAGTGAAGGTGAAAGGACATTCAACCACCAACAATCTATTGGGTGGGGGGGGTAGGAGGAAATGAAAAGATACTCAACCACCAAACAATGTAAGTTCTTGCACCTGACATGTAATTAGGTGAGGTTACTGAACACAACTGCTCATTAAAATTACATATCTTGTTGGGGTGAAGTGGGTGGGGGGGGGGGGGGGGGGG